AACTATACGACAGTGTTGATGATTCCGGAGCAGTTAAATTATCTATTCGGAGAAAAGTATTTTCCTCGCTATGAAGAAAACTCCGGAAACTTTGAACCTCAAGAGTAAAAGATGGATGGATCAGACGTTGGGCTATCGTAGCCAGTTCTTGAAGGAGAGAAACAATTGTCGTTTCCAGATTATTCGTCTCTCTGTGCACTCGCGGGCGTGAGAGGCCCGAGTGACATTTAGCCGAAAGTAATTTATGTTTTGTCTGTTCGCAAACTGAACTCCACACAGACGTATCTCAAACGACGTCGGGGAAATGACGCGGGCCCTGTTTGCAACTTTTGCCATATTTGAAGTTTTAAGTGTACGCGTGCGCGTTATGACGCAGTGTTAGGGACGACGATGTGGTCGGTAGCGGATTCAACTCCAGCTGTTTTAGAAGTTTGATGGAGGTATTCATGAATATTATTTCAGTAAGGTACGTCAGATTTTTTTAACGTGAGAAAGTGGCAAACGATCTGGGGTTTCACCTGATGTTAAGTGATGACTGCCGCCCACGGACTTATAACGGCAATACACGTTGGATTGCAAATGCGTTGCCACCTTTGAAAAAAGAGGGCCCCGGAGGTACCTCGCTCTCCAAACGTAACGCAGAAGTGTAACACTTCTACTTGACGCCGATCTTCTGTGAGGTCGTGGTGCTAACCCGGACGGACCTGCCCATTCATGCAACAGCGACTGTTGCGTGCCCGCGTATGCGAGTTCAATCTACATAGCTAGAGAAATATTTTGTGATGAGCGTAGTGTCATGGTATCTGGATGTTTATTTCAAAATCAAAGTCATATCAAGTAGATGCGTTACCAACCTTTAAAAGGTTAGCCCCTGTTTACCTCACCCACCAGGAAACGCGAAAATAGTACTTACAAGGCATGAATATTTATGAGGAATCAGTGACGAGGTCATTTCGCTTGGACAAGAAATATCTTGAGAAAATAACTGTATCTAAATATAATAGACCATAGTCTAGATACGGTTAAAATTCGGATCAACAATTATCATATATAGCAATAAAGCAAGATTTAATCAGCAGAGAATTTACATAATATTTTATGAAAAATATAATATACACAAAAAGTATTTAAGAACGTTGAGCGATCTGACGACCCATTTGGCGTAGTGGGTAGTGAGCCTGCCTCTTGCGAGGATGTAGTTTCGATTCCCACTACTGGAAAAATATTGTTAATGAACATAGTGTTTTCCATTGTCTGGCTGTTTATACATTTATCTTATATATAAAAATGGATTACTGTTCGTTAGTCTCGCTAAAACTCGAGAACGGCTGGACCGATTTGGCTAATTTTGGTTTTGAAATATTTGTGGTAGTTCTGGGAAGATTTCAACGATGAGAAATTATAGAAAATTTGCATGGAAAATAGCAACAATTTTATTTTCCCATACAAACTGTTCATACCTGTCAAACATTTTATGGGTGCGTTCCGAAAATTCTTTTTCAATAAATAATTTATATGGCAAAACAACGTTTGCCGAGTCAGCTACTTTCTAATATATTTAATTTGAAAAATAAAAGTATGTTTATCAGTTCTCTAATATAAAAAATGTAATAGAACATGCATTTCTTAGTTTGGTACCATAAACGTTGTGTGAAAGTGTGCCTTAAATCGGAGTCGGAATGGATATAAAGAAAAAAAAAAAAGCTATACGTTAGGATTACAGAATATTCCATTAAAGTCGAACCGGTTCCATCCGTAAAACGGAGCGCCGACAGGCCACCCTTTCGCAGGCTGTTAATATCCCGAACGAATTTTCAATGTAGCCTTCCACCATAAAAAATGCATGCTCCCACCTCCGCGTTATATCTGAGAGACCTCGCGTAGTTCGGGAACGACTGTCCCGTTTCCATTACAGGGAAGAATTATTGCATACTAGCTTCTACCCGCGGCTTCGTACGGCCTTTTGAGATATAGCATCCGATTTCTATGGAACGAAAAATATGCTTTATGTATATCCGGAGCGCCATGGCGGCGATAGCTAAGTGTCCGGGCGCTAGCCTTTAATTCAATGTGCTCGAGCGACCCGAGTTCGATTCCCAGGGCCGGCACCAATGAAATTGTTAAATTTAAGTGCTGACTTGTCACACGTTCAGCGGTGACGTTTTCGAAACAGTACCAAAACAAAAATATTTCGTAGATATGTGAAGTCCGCCAATTGGCAGTGGGGTCTTTGCACAGCAATGGAATATGTATAGGCTGTTACTTTTTTTTTTCTAGTGTAAAAGTTGTATCAATGATAAATTTCATTTATCGTGAGTTGCGATGGTATAACAAACACACAAACAATCAAATTAATTTAATTAAATAACTTTATTACGATTCTTGTTTTTTATTTAATGTGAGGAAGATAATATAACAATATATTGTATAGTTAGTAAAGATAATATAACAATATATTCTATAGTACGAGTCTTTACTCGTGATCGCAAATGTGATGATAATGATACCATTTACTGTTCCTTTTATCAAAGCTCAATTGGACCAATAAGATATTTTACATACCTTAAATAATAAGTATTTCTGGTCACATTTTTTCAAAATGTCATCTAGTAACAAAATAGTAAATCAAAATAATTTAACATACTTTTAGTTAATAAATAAATACAAAAATTATACACAAATAAATTGCCAAACACTTGAAAAACATTATGTTCATTACGCAATATTTCCATTAGTGTGAATTGAACCCATACCACTCTGGTATAGGAGACAAGTTCACAATCCACTATGCCAATCGGTTCTTAAAGCCAGTTTATATGTCAGTTGGGTACAAGAGCTTTTTAGTAAACAAAAAGCTTATTAATTTTATAGCCTCTACGTTGAATGCTTTCAGTTCGAGAGCTAAATTTCACGACTCGATCACCGAATAAAATTATCGTTTGATACGTGAAAAGTATTTGTTTTTTGTTGCTTTCTACTCAAGGTATTTCTTTTTATTTTAGGTATATAATCTAGTATGGAGTATTCTATTCTAGTAATGCATTTGAATCTTCTGGCAATATTTTTTATTCGTTGATATTTGTGCGTACCTCTCACGTCTTCCAAACTAGGGAAGATAGGGATATCGCTGGCTTTGTATATCTAAAGGAGCGTTGCCATTGTTTTTTGTCATTGTCTTTTTTTTTTAATTCCTAAGAAATTTTAAATTAGGTTAGATCTGCTACGAAAACTCTCGTATATTATCCCTCTGGGCAACTCGGAGCCAAATTGAGTTTGACTTCGCTTTTACTTTCGATTTTCGACAGCGAGCACTAGTTAGAGATACCCGGAATGATTAAATTTGGAAGCGAACGAGATGCCCCCCCCCCCCCCCCGTTGGACGATAAGAAGGAAATCTGCACTGGCTTTATAGGTAACTGAGTGTTATCTACGGCTTCCCTCACAAGGTCCTTTCCGAAGTAAATTTATTATGCTCCACGCACCAAAATGAGTAATTTATCCGAAGCCTGCGCCTAGATAAGTTATATTGAGGAATTTCACATCGTTTAATTCAATTCGGCAATCACAATCTAAATAAAATGCCAGCGTACAGGCAATAATATAAGATATACACAAACGTGTTGACGTTTGTGTATAACGCTTAGAGTCGGTTAAGCAGCTCCAGAGATTCTGTTTAGAAAATCAGACAGACAAACAGCCGTCTGTAATAAGTTATTTGCATGCGCAATCTAAGACATTAATTTCATTCCGAGTCAACTTTTGCCGGGAATTATCATAAATGGAAGTAAGGCTTAGTAATAGCTTTGTTAGTGAAGATTTGACTCCTATCATTTCATTGCTTTAATTTCTTAATAAAACCAACTGAGGCAAACCCTAAGCTTGTGAGATTTTTGATAATCATAAAGAAAAGTAGATTTTTTGTTTTTTGAAAATGTCAGGTACCTTTTTATGAACTATAAATGTTTATGTCATTTATTAAATAACCACATTACAGCATAGCTCAAATATTAATAATCAAAAGCCTTAATTAGCTTTACAGTTAGCGAAGAGTAAAAACTACATAACTGTTTCAGGGAACCTTATGGTATATATATATATATAAAATACTACGAAAGCTTCTAAAAACGAAATAAACTATAATCCCATCAGTTCAGAAAACTGGACATTAAAGTACAACAAAACGAAAAAGAAAATCATGTCGCTTAATTATCAGAAATTATTAACACATGTACTAAGTAAAAACTGAAGAAGGAAACCACATGGCAGTTACATAACGTCATTCACGTTTTTTTCTTATATAAATAATTGACGTGGCCCGGTATACGATCCGCGCGGCAGTACTTATAACCAATTCATGATATTTTTATAGCCTATATAGAACGGTGTGCCCGATCTTGGAGTTTCTTTCATGAATGCCTAACAAAGCTCCTGATCGGTTGTAACATACGCAACGTACACCATAGGTAGGCGAGGGTAGGGAATGAGTTTACCTTCAGAACAGCGTTACTACGCACGTTTTATTTTTTTGTGTGTAAGAAGTCGGTTCACCTGATGTTCAGTTAAAACCAACGCCTGTTGTTTTTTAATTTTTGTCAATTTACGATTATTACGTTAAAAAAAACGTTACAAATTACGTTAAAAAATAATGCGCCTCTGTGTTTATTTCGCCGGTTCTTCTCAGGTCAGTGGCTTTTTTTCCGAACCGGTAATAGTGTTTTTTGACAATCAATATATAGAAGTATGGAAAGGGCCAGCGGGTGTGGGTTCGATTCCCATTGCTGGAAAAATATTGTGTGGTGAACATGTGTTTTTCCTGTCTGGGTTTGTATGAGTATAATATGTATTTACTCACAAAAGAAAAGTATGTTAATCAGTTATCTAGTACTCATAGTACAAGCGTTGCTTAGTTTGAGACGTTGTGTAAAATGTGTCCTAAATATTTATATTAATAATATTTTAAATATTTGAATTTGAAATTTTCGCTGTCATATTGAACATACCTTGATATCGTGGTGAACCTCGTTAGCTTGGGATTGCCATTGGGGCTTTCCACTTCTTTAACCTCCTCACTGGAAACTGTAAAGAACAAGAACAAATCAGTAAATACACACTATTTTGACATGGAAATTTGTTAAATTTACACACGTAGTCACAAATTACTTTCATATGTTCCCTGTTGCAATGATAACAGGGCATAGTCATAAAAGACGTAATTGTAAATCATTAATCAAAAGAGTTAGTACCTAAATAGGCTAGTATTACATACGTACTAGGCTAGGCAACATAGATACAAATAGATAGATGTATTTCTGTCAACCCTCTGAAGATCAACATTATGTATGTAATGCTCACCAGGAGATCTCCAACTAGATGATAATAATGTCTATTTAGATAAATAAAATTATTAGGGCACGCAGAGGAACCCAGAATTTATACGAAAAACTTACTTGAAACGGTCAAAGCGTAGTTGCATACAAGTAACACAAATTTGTGAAGCTGTAATACTAAATGAAAGCATCGCTTCATCACATCGGTCGACGGAACGCATGAAAAGATGAAATCCGTTTGCAAAGTTTTAAGCCGTTCAAAATCTCTTTCGATCTGTAGCAATACTGAAAAGATTTTCTAGCGATCCTTAACCATGATCCCGGCTTCAGAGAGTATAATAAAAGATACTCCAACATATGTTCGTAATCATTGTCGTGTCATTGTAGCTGGCTATTGACCTCTACAATTACTTAACACTTCTATGGCGCACAGAAAATTGAAAAAAAAAAATGACTGATTTAAATTTACAGTTCAGTGATTCCTGAAATTTCCTGTAGGCCTATGCCTCGGCTATTACCTAATTAGTTTTAATATTAGTAACAGTAACAGTAACAGTAAATAGTCAACAGTAATTTTCGGCTATTAACTAATTATTTTTCCTACTAATTAAGCCTTGTCGTTGATTTAGAGATATAATTCATGACACTATTAAGTACAATATTTGTTAACTAACCAGATATTATCACAAAGGGTACCGATACTAGAACAGAGATGCGAAGCTGCAATGGCTTAAATTCACCGATTCCGTCTTAAGTGCTTGGCTGAGACAGCTATAGGAGAGTTCCTTGCTTTAATGTATTCAACAATTGTGAGTCAGTTTACTCCATGTAGTTATGAACACTACCTTGTACAACAGTTAAGCTTAGTACAACAGTTAATTTAATAGTTACCGTAATTACCGCAGTATCGTGTTGCTGCAACATCAAGTTTTGATCTAGCCTTTCATAGCACCTGCCAATACCACGAATTTAAATCACTGGTGAGTGGTTAAATTGAACTATTTACGTTTGTAAATACTATATATTTTTTTATGTCAAAAAATGCTAAGCGAGCAGACGGTTTATCTGATGTTAAGTGAATACCACCGCCTATGGACATCTGCCACACCCGAGTGTTGTAGATGCGTAGACAACTTGATGGAAATTGGGCTCCGGCCACCTCACTCACGCGAAAGTATTATACTTCCACTTTACGCCGGTCTTCTGTGAGGTCGTGGTACTTACCCGGACGAGCCTGCCCAATCGTGTAACAGCCGAGGCTGCTGCGTGGCCTTACCACCGAATAATATGGGCTGCAAAGTTACATTAATGCTATTAAACTGCATAGTTTACAACTTTATCGTCGATGAATTAACATACGATTGACCTAAATTATTCTAATTTCAGTTATACTGAGCATATTTCAGTTTTAAGTTTTCCTTTATAAAGAATTGAGTAGTCGTTTTAACGTTTATCGTTATAACTAAGTGAAAAAAAAAAAAAAAAAAAAAAAAAAAAAAAAAAAAAAAAAAAAAAAAAAAAAAAAAAAAAAACAAGAAACGTGTTGGAGTTAAAAAAAATGCTGTGAATCCCTAACAATCCAATACCGGTCAAATATTGAACATTATTATTTTTCAAGGGACGACTTTTGTGAAACCTAAAATTAAATTAATGGACATTATCAGAACCATACACTTTTTTATCATTGCAAGGGTATTAATTAATGTCAGAGTACACTTATCATAGACACATAAATATTTTTAAGTTTTTCAGTAAGTAATTTATAAAAGAAATTTTCAATTACATTTTTGAGTTACTTAGCTGTCATCAGGATAAGATGGAGTAAGGTAAAATTTCTCAAAAACTGATCGCGGAAGTATAATCATAACACCAGCTATGGTTCATGCGCATTTATCGGCCCCCGGTATCTCTCGAAATCTTAATTAATTGCCGGCGTCACGCGGACGACAGCTCGCGAATCCGCCGCCGGATGGAAATTCCCCGAACTTATCCAATCTCCATCGAGGCGTCCGCGACAGAGATGGGCTTCAGCGATCCTATTGAAAAGTTGGAGGGGGGGGGGGGGGGGGGTGCGATTGGAACGATCACGTCGGATATTGCTCGGCGATTTTTTGCGTCACTGATATAAACTCCTAAGGAGAGTTAGAATTCAGATCTGGCGGCAGCAGATTCGAGTTTGCAGTTGGTTTTAATGTAAGAACCGCTGTCACGCGTTGATTTTCAGCAATATCTTCTTAAGCAAACGTATGCTTATAAGGAACAATTGTTGGAGGGTAGGATATAAGTATTTTTAAAAATCTATTCTACGCTACACATGACACGTTCACACTCGCATACACAAATTGTCGTCACAACGCATGAGGGCGCTCATTTTTTATAGGAATTACATTCCAATCGTACAGGTTAGTTATTTTATTACATTTTTGGTGTTTTATTTTAATTTTTGTATTTCTTTTTTGGTGAGCTGAACTGTGCCTTACGGGTTTTTCAATACCTACTGCAGGCACCAGGGATCCACAACTATGCATGTTTTAAAATCTTTTTCAAAACTTGTTTATCGTTAAATTTAAATATTTTTGTTGTGGTGTTAAATAGATCATTTATTATAATTATTTTGATTTTTATTTTGAACATGAACAAGAAGTGGACACAAAAACAGATACCATAAGTTTGGGGACGTAATAAGTTTGATTAAGCATTGAAATGTGAAAAAACAATGTAGATAAAAAAAGTTAAGATTTTCGTCGGCGTGACATTCAACCATCTAACTTAGTGGTTAAAGCATTTGGGCGCGATTCCGAAGAACACGGTTTCGATTCCGCGGCAGGGAGAAACCTTTCTTCCATTATTTCTACAAATTTGAAGTGTGGAATACTAGATATCTCGCTAGAAGAGAATGATAAAGAATTAATTAATTTATTTAAGTATAAATTTACTTTCCTTTCTACTGAGGTTTATAGACATTCTATTCATTTGATCGTACTAATGTCACGAATGAACTGTTTAATCTCTCTTTAGGCCGAGAGGGCGATAAATGTTTGAATGAAATTTGGATCTAAGACAGTTTTATAGCTTCGTTAAACATACCTTGACAAAGGATACCTTGATGCTGTAAGGATAACGGATTGATTTGTTAGGAAATCTTGGAGCTGAGTCGTAATTAAAGTTTTTGTTTCGAATATTTATTGTTTTAAATTAATTTAGTATAGTTTTCTATGAATTACACGCGAGTAATTTTATCAATACACCGTTACCGAAGGCTAGATTTATTTTTAGGTAATATTGGTTTGTAGATTTTAAACATACTTAAATTATTTTATGCTTATCGCTAAAATATTTATGTACGCTAAAACTAGACAATCTGAGAAAGTTCAATTACTGAATTCTAATAAAAATAAATGTAAATTCGTATATTTGTCAAGGGGAATTTTATAAACGAGTTTAAAACTGGATTTTGCCAATCATTTTTTTTTCTTATAAACACATGTAGATTAATAGCACAATTTATAAAAATCGGATTGTTTAAATGCAAAGTAATATGACATTTGTGTTATGGTACCAGTTAATATTATTCATAGTCGCCCTGAATGCTAAAATGTTAATCGGAGAAATATGGACTCTGTGCTGTGATCATAACGATTATTATTGCTGATACGTCATGAACAGATTGTACAAGGGTGATTATGATTGTAAAAACAATATATTGTTCTCTATGGGGAGCTATAGAAAACAATCGGCTGGAGAGATCTAAAATATTAATTGAATATTAAATGCGTTCAAATGACGCCATTTATATTTGTTGAAATACGAAAACATGTTATTCTGGACCCATTGAAATTGGTTAGTTTTAATTTGAAACGTTAAGTGAAAGTTAAATTAGTTTGGATTATAAGTATCTGATTGAAAATTAAATTAAATAATTTGGAAGAAAATTTAAAATGTTTTGTGGTCTCTAAATTTTAATGAGGTTACATCTTATAATATTTCATACATTGCATATCTCGCATACACAGAACTCTCACATCACACTGAACTACAAGATACAAATACTCAACTAGATACAAATATTAAATGATAATTTTAAGGAGTATATTATGTAGGAAAAGTGAAAATATAGCGATTCCTCTAAGAGTTAATTGGCACCAAATTTAAACCTTAAATTGGACGTGATATTTGTAATATTATTTATTAAAGATATGTTCGCGTAAAAACAAGAAATCAATATTAAAACATGTAGAAAAGGTACGAAAAGTTTGTCGCCACTGTGGGAATCGAACCCACGTCTTCGGCATTCGCGGCCTGACGCTCTAGCCACTGAGCTAAACGGCTGATAGCCACAGCGACGAAAATCTTAAAGCCTTCTTTCTACATTGTTATTTTACATTTGAAGCAATGCTTGGCGCTTCTATTGTTATATCCTTTCCAGCATATAAACAATTTCGAATATCGTTTTACAACGATAATTCGAACGAGAGATTCGAAGAAATCAATATATAAAAAATAAAAATATCGAAAGCAAAAATTTGCATTAATTATCTGATATCGCAATCCAAGCTAAAGAATGAATAAAAAAGTTCAGAAGGAATATCCACTAGGCCCACTAAACTTGAAACGTAGGACGCGCTTATGCTCTATCGCTCTATTGGTAGAGTCGTTTGTGTTTATTTGCGTTTGTTTTAGTTTCGAGACCTTTTAAACGTTTCGCTTTCAGTGTTTCAATGCTGGAACTGAACCTTGGAACTGGGAGGG